TGCTGCTACTGCTACTGCGACTACCACGACCGCGAACACGACCACTACCACTACCACCTCGACGACGACGACAACTACTACTACTACTACTACTACTACTACCACTGCCGCTATCTTTACTATTCGTAAGCAGGGGCTACGTCAGGGCGGCTCCCCGTTAGGACTCCCTTTCAGGGTTTCCTTAGAAGAACTCCCACTCCTACCTTTCCTGGAAACGCGAGGAAAACTAGAGCAAAAACAACACAAGTAACACAAACACACACATCACTACCGTCCACTCATTCTCAAGCTGTGCCATTGCCCTCGTCTTTTCCTTCATCTGCTGCGCGACGAAACCTTGGTATCTATCCGGATCATGGAGATGCTCTGCAGAAGCGTCTCGCACTGCAGGTCATGCGATCACTTCTGGACCGTGGTGCAAGTCGATGCTTCGCTTCTCAACGCTGCAGACCTCAGGTTTCCGCTTGTAGGGGGGACCTCAAGCAGCAATCTCATACAAGTAGGGTCTGGGCTTGGCAATGATCTAGGCGCAGATACAGTCGCAATAATCTCCGAGCAGATGTCTTGTGCGAGTAGTACGAAGCAGGCGCCCAGTTAGTCAAGGGTCTCGCGCAAGATGAAACCCCAGGCCGAAGAACGTGCCTCTCAAGAAGGTTCGTGCTATGGCCCACTGCTCGGTCTTGGGTTGGCAGTGCACAGCATTCGCAGTAAGAGCATCGAAAAGATTCAGCCTGGGGGCAGGTGGCAGTGGTCTTCCCCATGGTGCCACCGTTTGGGTGGATAGAGTCCGGTTCTTGGATTCGCTTTGTAGATCTTTGTAGCCCTGTGTGTGACAGACGGCTGCACCGGCTTATGCCCCAGCTCGTCAAGACAGTTCATGCAGTTCATCGGGAAGCTTGCGAGGTTCAACCGAGGGAAGCACGTGGTGCACCAGGACGTCTGTCTGCAAGCGCACCAAAGATGATCTGCCTGTAGACAGCTTCAATCGTCTCCCCATCTGTCCAGCTGTGTGCTCAGGAGGTCTTCCGAGAGCTCTTCCTGCAAACTTTTCCGACGGCTGGTGTAGCAAGGCCCCAGCCCCAGTGTTTCACGTTCTGTTGTTTCTTTGGACACTTTTGTCTATGTTGTGCGATGGAAAGGAGACCCCGCTGATCTAGTAGCTGCTCGTTGTGGCTGCAGGCCGCACCTCATCGATGCTGCCGAGGACACGATCGCAAACACAAGGCGTGGGTAAGAGATTGCATATTTAGTCAGCACGACGGGAGCACAAAAGAAAGGCATCAGGGCTTCTGCTGATGGCCGAGGGCCAGCAGGTTGTGAATGAGCCGCATGACTTAAGCAGACTTTGTACTCGTGGAGGTACGTTTGGCGAGTCGGTGGCAATCATGAGTTCGAGCTCCCGCTGAAAGATGGTGAGCTCTACGAGAAGAGGCTGCACCTGCGCACAAAATCTATTGCACAGACTCTGACTTCGGAGCGCTCGGCAGAGCCGGAGAACAGGGACGGCGGTTATGGGAGTATACGGGGTTCACGTGCGTGCTAGCCCGGCTCCGAGATTCTCAAGTAGACAGAATGCCTCTGTCTGCGTTTGGCAGATGCGCCATGACATGCACGACGACTCTCTACGGCAGGCTGCCCTACCAAATCGTGGAGTGGTACGAGGAGTTCGAGCAACGAGGCTGGCATCTCCAGACTTAAAGCTTGTCTCAGTGTCAGACTGTCCTGTGACTGCCAGGCGGCGTGTTGTACCCGCCACCTGGGACTTACTTGTACTATCAAAACAAAGTGTGCAACTCAGCTTCTGTCAGCATGGACGAGGGCAGCTTAGGGTGTTCTTTTCTTCCGTGGCTTGTGTAATGAAGGAAATGAAGGATTTGTCTCACGCAGTGACTGTCAGTATGGCATGCCCATGCGAAGGTGGGGTTGGCTCGCCTTTTCATCGAGCGGAAGGCAAGCGACCATTGCCAGGGGTCACAGCTGCGGAGACCCTCGTTTCTTGGACCAGGGCCGTCACAGCAAAGCACCTACGAACAGCACTCAAGCCACCTCGGAGTCGGACTCTTTGCGACATGTACACCATGGCCAGATGATCGAACGTCCTGCCTGCTCTAGACCGTTGGCAGTTGCCAGGTCGCAGGTTTCGGGATCACAGGTTTTGAAGCCGATCTTTTTTGAATGCGTAACGGCGTAACGGTGCTCAAGCCTGGTCAATTGGATCTAGGAGTGACATGAGTCAGAATGAGGCCTATCGTTGCATAGATTTGAGGCGCCACTTCTGCATTGTAATTTTTATGACTTGCAGGACTGCAGCACTTGTTGGTGCTTGATGCATGTCACGCATGAGGATGTTTTGTGTTTCGGTCATGAGGCGGGGCTGTTTGTGGCGTCAAAAAGGGCTGTACTAGCTTCATCGGTTCGACCAACATATTCTCTACCTGCTCTGCAAGGCAAGCAGCCTAACAAGCCCGCACCCAAAACACGAACCCGATGCAGGTGAAGATCCCCCCAACCTGGGTCATCACGAGCGCGGAGGAGGCTGAGAAGGTGCGGAGACTCAGGCTGCTGTCTTGCTTGTAGAAAAGCTGCGATGAACAACAGCGTCGCATAGGACCATTCTTGTTAATTCCATACTCCGTCCGGTCATTAAACCTCGCTCCTGGCATAGTTGTGTCGACCTTGAACTTGACGTTTTGTTTGTTTAGCGAGTACTGTCAAGATAAATTCTATTGAGTCTGTTGTGGCCAGAAATCATAGTCGTCATTGTTTGTGGGGTCACCACGACGCTTTCTAGGATCCTTAGGCCTTGAGCATTTAGCATTCTGGTGCTTCAAGTCGTTGCGCCCCAATGTTCAAAGCCCTGATCCTTGTCAGTTTGCCATCGCTATCCGTGATAGTTGCTGTCCTAGTGCGCCCCTCCTGGGCCGGCTGCAGGAGAAAGACAACATCCGATTTCCGGTAGTCATCAAGGACCGCCACTCCCTACTCCTACTCAGTGTCGCCTCGCGTTGCTTGATGAGGACCCGTACGGTTTCTCCAGCACCTGGGCCGCTTTCATCTTTGCTATGCTGCTATATAATTAAGGTCACACACGCAACAGAAGTTTTTGCTTAATTATCAGTGCAAGTATGAGCAGCTGCAGCATAATCAAGCAGATTTCCTAGTGCGGTTGTGTTTATGTGACTTACGTGTGCATACTCGTGTGGTTAATGATCCCAACTTTGGTCCGTTGACTTGTCAACATTGTACAGGCACACGTGCTTGCATGCAGACATGCACAGATATGTATATAAGTCTAACATAACGATGACAACACACACACACACAATAATGCTGATAATGCTAGTAAGACGACGACCAATACTAATCATAGCCCCTTGAGTAGCAGTAGTACTAACGATAGAAACAAGTGTAGTAATCGAAATGGTATTTCTAGTTGCAGTAACAGTAGTAAAAACAAAGGCAAAAGAATTAGAACAACGAATAACTACAAGCATAGCAAGAATAGTAGCGATGGTAATTTGGTAATGATGTTTTGGAGTTTTGTACGACGTCTTTTGAAAGGGTTCATGATACTTGCCACTCTCTGTTCACGAATCATTCGTTGAATTGATTGGTGTTTGCATTATTTTTATCAGTAATATCACTATTAGTGATAATCGCCATAGCAATAGAAATCGCAAGAATGGTGTTAATAGTAATTTTGAACGCTTCGCGCCGTCCGCATCGGCCCGGCCGTAAGCCCCATAATTTCAAGGCTCAGGTATCAAGTTCATAAGGCAATACGTGTGAACGAGGGGGGCCGGCGGGGGGGAGGCGGGAGGAAAGCGATCGCCTGTTGGCTTTCGGCTCCGGCGCTGCAGTCTCCGTGCAAGGGAGCGGTAAAGGGGTCGGGGGGTGGGGGGGGGGGCAAGCCCAATCTCGACTAGCAGAATTTCCGGACGTAGGAGTTGCCAACCCAAATCCGATTGAAAAGGGGGGGTTCGTCCTCCGGTTAAAGGGGGGTGGGTCACTGGAGAGGGGATTAAAAGGTGGGGAGCAGTGAGTCCCTGTGGGAACCTCTGACCGCTTCGGCAATAATTGTAGTTATAGTTATGACAGTAATAATCGTAAATATCGTAATACTCGTGTAAATAGTACCAATATTAGTATCAATGTTAATGATACTAAGACTAGTATTGTAGTAGTAAAATATTACTGGTCGATGTGTGCATGTGTGTGTGTGTGTGTCTGTGTGTGTGTGTGTGTCTGTGTGTGTGTTCCTGTGCGTGTGCGTGTGCGTATGTGTGAGCGCGTGTGCGCGTGTATGCATGGACAGGGACGGCCTTGTGCATTGTACGTCCATGTGCTGACTTCGCCTTCTGTTCTCCGTGTGCCCTTTTCAGCGTCATTTTGGGTGCACATGTGAGGTGGCTTTCGAACAGTTAAACAGCGGCAGCCGACTGAGGTCTCGGCCTGCTCCAGGCAGCCAACCCTGATGAATTCGTGGAGGCCGACAACGTGTATGGATATGCGCACATACTAATGTGTTTGCCTATCTATCTACCTGTTTCCCCGTGTGTCTGTTTCTGTCTGTCTATCTATCTACCAATCCATCTTTCCACACTTGTCTGTCTGTCGGGTCTGTCTTTCTGTCTGTAGATTCTGGCTCTTTGTCTGTCTGTGTCGGTTTGCATTTTCTGTCTGTGTGTCTGCCTGTATGCCTCTGTGAATGTATGTATGCATGCATGTGTACGAACATATGCATGTATGTTGTGTATGTGTATGTGTATATTTAGACTGTATGTATATATGTGTATGCTCAAAAGCATCTTACTTCCCCATGTGTTCATACGAAAACATTGGAATGTACGCGCCCGAAGAGAGATCGAGTGACATGCATTTAAACGCTTATCAGCTGGATGCGGATGCTGTGTACCTGCATGCTCCCGCCCACCCCTACCCGCCCTCCCTCCATGCAGACACAGACACAGGCAGACAGGCAGACAGACAGAGCAACGCATACACGCGCACACACACACACACGCACACGCGCACACCCACACACACCCACACACTCGTGCAACCTCCCCTGAGTATCAACAACTGCACCGACTCAGAGACAGGTTTAGCCGCCAGGGCTGACTATTGAGTTTTGCCATCATGTTTTAGGACACGCAAAAAACATGCGATAATGCTGGAAGTCTCAACCGATCTGCGCTGTTCGAAAGAACGGCACAGTAGTTTCCCACGACGAAAAGCTCGGTCCAAGCAAAGATGAATCATACATACTCAGCAACTACAGAAAATGTTTCCGTAACAACGTAGGTGCGTGAGTTGAGCGTCCTCAACTCATGTCAGTGCCATCACAGAGGCCTCTTCGTTGGGCTGTCACCTGTGTGGGGCAGACAGCCCCCCTGCGCGACTGAAATCTGATATCACTGTAATATACTGTAATCTCTCGAATGTTGTTGGAGGATTTCCTATGCAGTTCAGTGGAGAAGCATCAGCAATAGCTGAAACTCTTGGTCTCTACTACTGAGTGCTTGGTAAACAGGCGTCCACACACACACACACACACACACACACACACACACACACACACACACGCGCGCGCGCGAAAGCACAAGCACACGCACGCGAACACGCGCACGCACACGCACACGCACACGCACACGCACACGCACACGCACTCGCACACGCACACGCGCGCACGCGCACGCGCACGCG